TTGCTGCGTGGTAGTTTGAATACATTCATCATTCAAATGGAATCTCCTTGCTGAACCAGCCTAATTATATATCTTCAAACTCCTGAAACTTTGCAACACTGCAGCGTTGTGCCATCTTTCAATACCAGTGGCTTTACAAGGCATCACCATATAAACATTATTCCATCAACATTTTAGAACTCGCACGATAGCATTGGCAATGCGTCTCTTGGGCAACTACTTGAAAAATAGTAATATTCTCTTCGTTTTGAAGACATGGCATTAGTGTATTGCTTAAACAAACATTCATCTGATGATCAACATATTATAGCTATTATTGATAGTATCATATTCAACATTTGCGTTAGTGCTAAAATTAAACATGTTCCAAAAAGGCACAAGTTCATTGCTGATAAATTATTCCGCTTGCAAGGTCGAATAAGCCAAGGCTGGTACAACATCATCCTCATTCGGTGTTCATACCAACCAGTCCATTGATATGCTGACACTGTGAACAGCCTAAACTACTCATGCAACTCAAGCGGTTACGGACATTGCTGCTCTTGTGCTGCATCTGATATATAGTTTTTTTCCCAGCTCACAATAAAACATTAGCTAACATCATTATCCATCTGCAACAACAAAAGGTTCCTCCTGTATCTATTGATTCCCACCTCCCCCTCATCAGCAAACACTATCTTAAAGGTCAATTTGAACCAGCCAATTTCTTTAATATTAGAAGATGGTTATTGGTCTAAACCTCAGGTCGACAATAGCTGTCTTATATTCTCATCTACTATGTTCTTCATCCATGTTAAATATTTTATATATCTATTCAATGTAGTTTGTTATTGACCTATCACTGATTTTTACGGATTGGTGATCAGATTCCCTCCTATTATTTAGAGTCGGACCACATTATTCCATCTCGTCACGATTGGTTAAAAATTGTTATCTCAATCAATATTAATTGCTTTAAACACCATATATGCCAAAAACAAAATAATAGTTTATTTTCACACTTCTAAATCTACACTGTACCATACCATGGCACTTCGACAATAAAATAAACTGCACAGTAATTCCAACGATTATCCTTGTCAACATATTCCTCTATTGTTTGAAGACAAAGGTTTGAGTTGCTTCTAAAACAATGCATGGGATACGTCAGTCTGTGACAAAACACTTCAAGGGTTACAATGTCTCTGTTGATGCACAACCCACGTCATTTTCTTCGGTCAGACTGATCAAAACGTTCAATGTCTTTGGCGTAGGAAACTAGGTATGTATAAAACACACACACACACACAAACACACACACACACACACACACACACACACACACACACACACACACACACATATATATATATATATATATATATATATATATATATATATATATATATATATATATATATATATATATATATATATATATATATATATATATATAAACTAGTAGAAACGAGCGAAAACCAACCACAGAAAAATGGAGTATTTAATCTCGTGATCAGATATTTGCCAATTCTTAATGAGTTTCGTTATTTTCAATTGTCTTTTTTCTTGATATTTTTGGGATATTTTCATGATATTTTGTGTTATACTTATAGCCAAACACGTGAGGCATATGTCAACAAATCGTAACTCAGGGAACATAACAGCAAGTCTTTTGATTCCGTTATGTTTGTATATTTGCCATTTTAAACGGAATGGAGTGCATAATTGACCAGCATAATGCGGTTCATCTGGTAAAGGGTACGATATAAATAACAGACAGTGTGTATTACATCAATTCTACTATTGCATTCATGGAGATGTATACAGGTCTCTAGTTTCTACATTTGCATGTAAATTTTCTTCTGTGTTTGTGTAAGCAGATGGATGACTCCATTGCAGATTAATTATCACAGTTTCGAATGTGATTTGCATGTATTTAGTATAACGTTTCATTCGCAAATGTCTGAAATCATTGATTGTAGTCTAGGGAGCTTCGCAAAGATGTGGGACCGCTGACTGTACTCTTAAGGACTTTGCAAGGATCTGTTAATAATAATCGTAACCATGGAGGACAATACAGAATAATCAAAGATATAATTGTTCTGTGACGTTTCTTCTTCAAGGAGTTTTCTGCATAAAAACGAAATTAATTCAGGCACATTTTTCCATGAGACATTACTTGTTCTCAATCTGGATAAAGACAATGCATCTACTATTGGACGACATTCAGTTCAAAGTTTACGAGCCTTACGCATACAGACCTACAGTGCTCCGTTTGGACTGAATCATTCATAAGGATACCTGTAGCAGACTGGAACTTATGTCACGACTCTATGATCTTAAACTAAGAATAAGCAAAGCGAAGAAGTTTTGTAAAACTTAACAAATAATTTAAATAGAAAAATTATTGACGAAAATGTGAGAGGTACATACAGTATTATGAAATGAATCCAAAACAATCCTGGCATTTTTTTTAAAAGTCAACAACAATGAAAATTTCAAAACCGGAAATGTACTGGTCCGCCAAGAATCGTGATATTGTCAAGATGGTATTATCCTGAACTCATTTCAATCATTGACGGCAGTTTTATAATAATAGTATAGTCTAAATAATGATAATTTTTTTTATTCCCATTGAACAGTTCAAACAAATCTTTTTCCTCTCGAATAATGTCTAAGTACAACATGAAACATGTCTGCAACCTTACAATCGATACACAGGAAATGCTGAAGACTCCAAAATAGGAATGATCTGATTGTTCAGTTCTTTCCTTAAAGAACCATATATTGCGACTATATCTTGCAATATAGCATACATGACGGATATTAATACCCATTTTGCCTCGAACTTACCCATTCATGTGACCTAGATCAACCAATGAGAAGTAAATGAATTATTCTAGAATGGTTTAAAATTAAGTCGTATATATATATATATATATATATATATATATATATATATATATATATATATATATATATATATATATATATATATATATATATATTTCTACAATTTACAAGCATTGCTAAAAATTACAAAATTTAAATTATGTACCGAAAGTTACAAATATATATATATATATATATATATATATATATATATATATATATATATATATATATATATATATATATATATATATATATATATATCACATATGTCCTTTCTTATGTATGATTGGACAGCATATTTCTTTCTGTGACAATGTCTTTATGAACACATTCAGCAGCTTAACCTTTGGGATCCTTCTTAGTGTAATTTTCTTAATGTAGAAAGCAATGTATTAGTTGTGTTAATATTCAGTGCTCAGAATGTTCAAATTTTATGCAAATTAGCGATTAATTAATTGTATAATGAACCTTGCCTTGCTTGTTATGCGAAGATGTTTTTGTGGTTGACAGTCAATTATTTCACTTTTACAATAAATTTATTGTCACTACAGTGACAGAGCCTGATTTAATAGTCTATTTCTATGAGCGAGTTATTGGCACCTGTCACGACTACCTTTGCTATATTCTTCCTATATATTACTCAGTAGTATGAACAAACTTGTGTATGACATGTCGAAAACAAATCTATATCAAAATGTAGAGCGAAGTTAAAGTTTGTGCATAAGGTAATGAAATGATGTATTTACTGCAAATATTTTTCTATTACAGGTCTATTCTTTAGGTTATATTCCAGCTTCAAAATATTTGTAAAAGAGTTGTATATACGAAACCCAAGGATTATAACAGATGCATTTTGGGTAATTTCCTTCTTTGCATAATGTTCATGGAATAAACCATCAATGGTTTACAATGTGTTGCAACAGCAGACTCGTGTTGCAAACGTTCACTTTATTAAAGCATTGCCTGCATACGGTTTGTGTACGCTGTGGTACTGTCTGTTACTTCGAGGTGTTTGAAGGCCATAGAAAGACCAAAGTGTTGCGAATATTACTTTCTTATGAATGCTGGTAAAGAAAAGGCCATTTAGCATAACATTTGACTATGTGATTTGTTAAAGTGATGGTTGAAATTTGGGGAGCGAGACATTTTCCTGACAATATCATATCTCAAATTATATCATGACGATCGATCCAGGTGACTCACATATTTCGTTAATGAATGAAAGAAATGAAGATTATATTTTCTGTTGACAAGAAAACGTAAATCACTGACGTATTTAATTATGGGAGTGATAATTTCAAAAACGTTAAATTAGCTCGGTGTTTCATTTTTCTTCTATAACCCTTCCCGTGATAAGCTGTTAAGCTAATGGGACGTTGGCTGTTTACGAAAACTATATCAAACGTGAATAGACATACCGAGCCGTAAAAATTCAGAATTCCGTTAAGCCGGTGGATGTCATTGTAAAACAGCGCAATATACTGTATGAAACGAAAGATTATAGGCACGATCCACCCCACCCCACCCCACCCCACCCCACCCCACCCCACCCCACCCCACCCCACCCCACCCCACCCCACCCCACCCCACCCCACCCCACCCCCCAAAAAAACATTTTGCAACGTGGTACAAATTTGCACTGGTAATTTATGTTGTTTAATATTATAAAATATTAACTAAATCTGCATTCAGAGCCAAATATAATATTTCGGATAATATTTTCCCACATCTGCGAGATATGTAAATGTGTACAATGATGCATGACGTAAATGAAAGAGATGTGATAAGCAAACTATGTTAAAATGACAAACAAGACTACAGTGTTCAAGAGCAGGTAAAAAAAAGCATAAATGATCAATTAATCATTATTCCTATAGTCTCCATGTGATTATATGATTATGATTTTTAATGTAGCTTTAACAATTTTTCAGTCATATCGCTATGATGGCTGCAGTGTGGCAGTTTATAGTGATTTCTAGCAATGAGGCGTCATGCCACAGACATATAACATGATGTCCCACCCAGTCAAATTATCCTGACACCAGGCCGACCAGTCCTAACTCTAATCTCTTAGCGCTGAGCGTCAAGAGAGTCAGCTGTTAGTACCGTTTTTGTAAATCTTTGTATGACTCGGTCTGGAATCGAACCTGCAACCTCCCGCATCCGAGGCGGACGCTCTAACCACTAGGCTACCGGAGCGATAATATGGTCTCTATACTTCAGTTCAAATAATCTTGACTCATATAGTGACACATTCAAATAACCCTAATTCAAAACCAGTCTTGCACAGAAATTTTTTTTTTAGTGATTATCGAAAATTCATTCTGTAAGTCAAATCAATGTTCGGAATGTGACCTGGGTTCAAGTTTTAAATATGGTAGTGAACAATCTGGAACAGGATATCAGTAGTATGCAGTATAGGTAGGATCCGACACTTCGTAGTGACACAGTGTATCGATATTTTATGTAGATTATTTCAACATCTAAATTACACAGAAACAGACGTCTATGATGATGAAAGAATAAATGTGTCGTCAGTCAAATCATTATGTGAAAACGTTTATGTTTTGATCTGATGAGGGAAATTAACGTTGCAAACAATTTCAGAAAATTATTATTGATAGTGAGTCTCAACAACAAAATTTATATTTGAACCTAACCCATGAAACACTTTTATCAGCCAGTGGTAGGCAGTGTGTCAAGTGTAAAGGTAAGCTCGAATTGTCAGTATTAATAATTTTACTATATGATACCAATTTATGTTTAAATGAGTTAATTATCGGTGGTTACTGGACTGCCTTACGTTTAAATTAAAAGAACGTTTATCTCTCGAAATTTGTATGTAGAATTTTGGTTGCGCTTTAAATCTTCACTGATTTCCAGCTGAACCACAACTGTCTAAACGAAGGATTTCACCTCTCGCTTAGGAAATCTGACCATATAGTTTTCAAGAATATTGCCAAAATGTAAAAAGAAATGATTATATGAGCGCGAAATGCCAACGGCCTATACAACCAACAATAAAAATAGCTCCCGATATCAAATCGTTAGGATATATTATATTTCACAAAAATTTGTAGCCATACTACTATGAACAATTTCAGAACACTGGTGAAGCGGAAATATAAAATAATACGAGTAATTTATTAAACCTATATACATTGGATACAGTTACGTATTTCTCCATTCCGAATAGAAGGTAAGTAAATGCAATTTATATTTTCATCATGTACAAAACCTGACATCAGATATATTTTCCAAGATGACGAATATTTCCACCAGTTATTTATATTCCATTTCGTATACACAATTCATATCTATCAAAAATATTACGGGCGGTTCGTATTATTAGTGTTAAAAAAAACAACGGTAACGATATTCCAACATGATGGGAATGTAAACAATAAAGGAGATTTTGTGCATAGGATAAATTGCATATACACTTGATAAAAAATATTATAGAGAGGAAGTTAAATTTGCTTCACAATATATATATATATATATATATATATATATATATATATATATATATATATATATATATATATATATATATATATATATATATATATATATATATATATATATATATAAATATAGCACGTGGTTTTCATAAAGTTCAATCATTGACATACATACATACATACATACATACATACATACATACATACATACATACATACATACATACATACATACATACATACATACATACATACATACATACATACATACATACATACATACATACATACATACATACATACATACAAACACGAATTCCATTAGGCATGTAATCATGATATATTTTAACAAAATATGACTTCCATTTGGCATGTAATCATGATATGTTTTAATAAAACATGACTGCCAAAAAGGCATATAATCATGTTACAATTGTACATTGTTTATATGCCTAATGACAGTGTTGTCTTGTTAGAACTATACAACACTTAAGTTAGGCTTATAGCCATATAAAGGCTTGGCAAACAATACTTGAATCAGGCATAGACTCCTATAAAGTTTTGTAGATTCAGGATGTTCTTCTGTGTTTATTGTTTGGTTCTTTAAGGACCCTCAGTATGGAGTCTAGAGCGCTTAGGTCAGTTTCAAATTGTTTTGCACTGTACATGCATACCTACCTACCTACCTACCTACCTACCTACCTACCTACCTACCTACCTACCTACCTACCTACCTACCTACCTACCTACATACATACGCATAACGAAAAATACAAATAATAAGTTCAGTTCTTTATTTACAATAAATAATGCTCTTAAATGTTAGAATTTGATAATCGTCCCTACCTCCTTAGTTTATTTGTAAATTTATGATTACCTCTTGGCTTTCCATTTCTATTAAATATTAATGCAGAGAGAGAGAGAGAGAGAGAGAGAGAGAGAGAGAGAGAGAGAGAGAGAGAGAGAGAGAGAGAGAGAGAGAGAGAGAGAGAGAGAGAGATTAAAAATTCGAAATTAGTTTAGCTGCACAAAAATGTCGAGATCTTGAATTTAGAGTCACGTTTACGAAAGGAGGTGAGAAGACAAATCTGAATTTATTATATTTGTTTGAATGTTGTTTTTTTCTATTAACATATACTATAGCACTATTTCCCCTTTGATAATTTTGCAGTAACTGGTTTTTTTTTGTTGTTTGTTAGTCAGGCTTGTACCTCTAAAGGTCAGTTTTTATCGTTATGATATCGTTTATCATTTTAACAGAAACGTAAATTGGTTAATGTAAAATAATAAAGCTATTTGCTTTTATCATATCCATTGTTCTAAAATATTCAGCTAACCATAATATATAATGATAATCTTGAGTCATTACCGTTACTTTGGTCATGCTAAACCGACGTCGACGAATCTATCTAACAACACTTACCTAGACTAGAGACTACTTCACATGCATCCTGAGAAAAGAGTTGATGAATTTTAAGGATTTGAGGAAAACCCAAAGAAAGAAAATAAAGACCATATTAGTAGAATTCAAACTTGTATGACCCTATCTTAATTTATGGTTCAGTTAATAATTAATTGCTATCAGCTCAATGATAATAATTTTTAAAAAAATAAGATAATCTTTTACTGTATTGTTTTTACTGATAAAAAAAATATTTTAAAGTCAGCAAGAAAATTTGAAATATGTAGCAAATTCATCATTTCACTGCCATAAGACTCATAAATTATAGCGATTAACTATTTCATCTTCATCTGGTGTAGGTTTTGACTCTACAACTGTAATGACAAGTGAGATCGTTAAGATCATGGTAATATTAGTAGATCTTGGCGCCAACATTAAACAGTCCTCTTTATATTGCCTTTGGTTTTCTTCACTCATTTATTCATTTTCTAATCTTCGATATTCTCAGCGAACTCACAATCGTGTAAGTTGTGTAGTAGAAATAATCATTTCATGCTTACATCTAATTCATCAGTCCTTCTATCCAAGTTGTCTATTTTCGTTTTGGCGATTTTAACAACATTATGGATAATTTGTTTGTTTAAAGTTTTTGTATTTATTTTTGCTAACATTTCTCAACGACATTTTGACTTAAACATGCTGCAGTTGACATATATTTCCTTAGTCAAACGTAAAGTGTGGACATAGTTAAGACATTGCTATCTATAGGTAAACATAATTGTAAAATGTATCCTAGCTGACATGTCACCTAAAACTACACAAAGTGATATACTAATTTAGATTGTTTATTGTGTTACTAAGTGTACAAAAATTGTACAAAGCTATGGAAACTTTTATTTACCTGAATAGAACATGCCCTGTTGTTTTTGCCAAGGAAGGGTTAGAAAGAAAAATCGAAACATATACTGCAAATACAGAGCTGTAACAGAAGTTACAAACACGACATGAATTCCATAGATGGTGACATACTGGGCAACATGATGGCCTACATTATAAATAGAACTAGATGATACTGCATCTTTGACGATATCTGGTAAAGAACTAAAGCTTCTAGCCATCGGTGACGTGTTTCTCATTATAGAGATTGGCGTGCATGATCCATAAATTCAACCTCGAATGATAGTAATATCAGAATTGAAGGAAAGTATGAGGAATCAGTACCTAAATTTCATTGTGTATCTAGATCATTATACCTTGTATTGGTGTCAATACATGCATAATAATGGTTTTAGATGGGGAAATAAAACAGAAACTGCAAATGGGGTGAAAAAGAAGTTGCTGAGCATTCTGTGTGACAATGATACTAGTTATATATCAAGTACAAATGCAGAGATTCCAAAATAACCCCACAATCATTTCAAAGTCTATCTCTTGCCTGGGATATAATAGTAATGACCATGCAAGATATTTCATAATTTACATAATTTATCGAGGATAAATGGTCAATTGAAATAACTTTGACTAAATTTGTCTCTACATTGGAAATAAAAACAAATGCTTGATACGCTGCAAAAATCTAAGAGAGTACACGCAGTTCGAACTGAAGCTGACTAAAATACATAAACTCGATTCATTCAGGTATCACGTTTAAAGACGTTAACTAAGATTCAAATTCTGTTGAGAAAGACTTTTTGACCAATGAATAATAAATGAAAAAAATATAAGAGGACTTTTAAAGATATATCCCGTACAGATATAAACATAATTGATAATTTGGTTTTAATATCCTAGTCGATTTTTGGTAGTTGATTTTCCATGTTAGACTGATCATAACAAATTCCACAACAACAAGTTCAAAATAAATTCAAATGGCACACACACTAGACGAGATATATGAATTTCGTATGTGTAAAATCAAAACTATGACTGAAATAAGTAGCAACTTAATATTTTTATTAGTGACGAAATTTTCAGAGATAGAAAGAGGAGAAATATACGTAGCGCTTGTAAACGTATGGGTGTTTACAAATATTAACTTCAAAATAACCAATTTTTACTACATTCTATCTCCAATATTTACGTCAAAAATTAGGCACATTAAAAAAAGAAATTAAAACAAATCCTTCTGGTCTATCAATCAATAACATTTTCAATAACGATGTAGTGCCAGAACGAGATAAACATTTAGAAAGAATTCAACAACATTTAGAGTCAACAATACATTGAACTAGATAGAAAAGATGGATAATGAAGATATTTTATCCTAACAATCTTCTTGCAACACTTAAGGAGGTTTTAAGAAATCTCCAACTGAACACCTTTATGTCGCTTGA